TAAACTCCCGCAAATCTTAAGGCAAACACTAGGAATATATAATGAAATATTTTGACTTGAGAGGGTTTGCTCTGAATATTTTGAGTTAATATATACTAGTATTGCATACACTAGTTCAGAAATGTGACATGACAATGTCACTTGATGTGGTGATTTAATAAGAATGACCCCCCCCCATAGACTCCTCAAATTGGATGCTTGGTCATCAGGGAGTGGCACGATTTGAAAAGATTAGGAGGTGTGGCCTTGACGGAGGAAGTGTGTCACAGGGGGTGGGCTTTGAGGTTTCAAAAGCCCAAGCCAGGACCACTGTCTCTATCTTCCTGCTGCCTGAGAATCTGATGTAAGACTCTCAACTACTTCTCCAGCACCATGTCTGCCTGTGTCCACCATGCTTCCTGGGAAACTAAACCTCTAAAGTTGCCGTGATGGTGTCTTTCCACAAGAATAGATACTGGTGGTTTGGTGGGGGGTATGTAACGGCTCTCCTACCAAAGAAATCACCCATCTCTCTTTAAAGGCATAGGTTGTTGGGATTTAGTTTGTCTTTTAAAGTTGCAAAAACAACATATGAATGTTACAGGATAGATGGGTATCTAATATTACAAAAAACAAGAAGGAAAAGGTTCCTGACTTTGTTTCACCCGACTCCACTACTCAGACATGGTTACTCTTAACAGTTTAGTATTTCCCTTTTACATTTTTGAGGCAATTTTAAATTCATGAGTGTGAGATCACACATGAATACAACTTATGTGTGTATACAGGTAACGAATACGAATATATCTACAGCATGTGTACAAATATATAACACATATAATAATTATTACAATATACACATGTGTAAGGAAGATTTGTCCCTACCCCTGAAGTCAGCATAGGTGCTGGAGATGGTACTGTTTTGTGCCTACAGTCAGAATCCACACTGTATTAGGAAACAGGTTTATCTACCCCAGTATAATCAGACACATCTCCAGAGTCATGAGAAAAGTTTCCCACTCACTGTGCATGCCATGTGGTCATTCTGTGAACAACGTACTTCAGATTCTTCTTCCATATATTATTGATTTTAAGTCTTCTGTAGGTCCTACTTCCATATATATCCATGTCGGAGATTCCAGTCCCAGAATACTAAAGAATCTCTCAATCTCTCTCTCTCTCTCTCTCTCTCTTTGAGATCCTCCTGCCCCTGCCTCCTAAATGGTGGGATTAAAGGTGTTCATCACCATCACCCCGCTGAATCTCCTTTTCTTAGAAGGTATCTTTGAAAAAAAGGTTCCTCTTTATATTCTAATACAAAGATCTGTAAACTATGGCCCCACATCTGCTTTTGTAAATAAAGTTTTATTTGAACACAATCATGCTCTTTTACTTGTATTTTGCCTATGGCTGCTTTCACACAGCAGCTTAAGACTGCATGGTTGTAATTTTTGCTATCTGCTCCTTTACACAAGAAATTTACTGATCCATATTAGTATATTCTAAACACAGTTTTATTTTTTCTTCTACCAAACATTTTGTAAGACCTAGTATCTTTGCTTAAACTAAGGGGTCTAGTTTTGCTTTAAAAAAAACAAAACAAAACACCAAATGCATCTTGGCTCTGACCACAACTGCAGTATGCAGGTAAATGTTTAGCAATTTGTTCCCTAGGTAGGAAAAAACTCAGACACAGAGTGCTTTGGATGATTTCCATGGCATAAATATTCCCACCATGGCCCATTTCAAGCTACGGAAAGGTAACACTGCTGACCACAGAGTTGAGAAGAAATATACATAAATGCTAGCATAAATCTCTTTCAGGAAACTATGGGTGCTTGGGATAACCTACTAACAACAGCCCATGTGAAGTCAGAAACACTAAGGTTCTAAGAGATGAAGTGTCTTCTACAAGGCTAGTCCAAGAACTAATATCAGGGTGGAAAGGGTTTTCCTATCCAGACTCTAGCTGCCTCATGAAGAGGTATTTTCTCCTAAGAGACAGAATGGACAAAACAAGACAAAAAGATATTATTTGCCAGGCACGTGGTAATAATAAATATTGGTTTTAATTGCCCTCTTCATAGTGCAGGCCTCTGGTTTCCTTTGCACATGCTTCTGAAGCACACTTTACTAGGGGGTATTGCTCTTCTCGCCGGACCATGTTTCACGTACACATGAACTCATGCACAGGGGGAATCGTCTCAATTGACCAGTCGTTACCTCTTGATTACCTCTTGACTGGAAGTTCAGACAGGCCCTGCATCTTTTACACTTATAAATTTCCCAAGGTGCAGAAGAGTTGGGAATGAGATCAACACCTCAAGGGATGAATGGGGGTGGAGCTCCACCATCAATGTGGAGTCATAGACAAAGACCACAAATGCTGAGAGTTTAGATCCTAACCCCTTCTCTCACCTGTGGGAACCACAGCTCGTGCACAAATCATCTGTCAACCAAAGTGCTGGAGCTGCTCCATCATAACACGACAGCCTCTTCGGGTAGAGGACAGGGAAATCTGTCTGCTTTGATGTATGTAATTGATATGTATACTATTCTGTCTCAAGTTTGCGTAGACAGAATATAAACCAAAGGAAAGAATCTAATCAAGGGTGCCACGCATCACACAAACACGAACACACTGGACAACTTCTTTCTAGCGGGGCTGAGAGAGGACTGTGTGGGATATCAAGTTAAGGCATGTTATATTCGTTTATTCTGTGGAATATTTGTTTAATGATGCAGAGATGTGTTACATTTGTTAGAGTAAGTAAAATGAACCTGTGATCAGGAGACTGAGCAACAACTAGCTGACAGGAAGTGGTAGGGAGGAATAATGTGTAGCTAGGGTTCTTAAGTGGGGGCTGAGTAAAAGGATGCCCCATTTGGGGGGAGACTTGAGCTAGGAGAGAGGTTAGCCACTTGCTAGTCAGCTTCTCTGAGCTAGCAGGATTGCACCCCAACCTTTGAATCCAGAGTTCTTTAGAGAGACAGACACGCAGATAAAGTTCACTTTAGTGGCTGTGATAGACCAGTACCTGAGGGAATAGAATTCCTCCCTGACTATGGCCAGTGTGGCCAAACTCTTATTGGTAGCTGCAGAATTGCAATTGCCGACTAGGACAGCAGTTGCTTAAGGGGCAGCTACTAAGTTTTTAATGAAAGGCAGCAGAGGACACTGGCAGTGACAGCCAGGGATGTGGGAGTGAGAGACATCAAGGGCTGGGAAGCCTATCTCAACAAATCCAAGTCTGGAGACTACAACAGCACTGAACGAGGGGGAAGAGTCAAAAGCCTGCCACTCTGATATCTTATTTATTTATTTATTTAGGTGTTTCGAGACAGGCTTTCTCTGTGTAGCCCTGGCTGTCCTGGAACTCACTCTGTAGACCAGAGCTGGCCTGGCATGTGGTCTATGGTTGCTTTCACACAGCAGCATAAGAACTGCAAATAGTTGTAGTTTTTGCTGTCCAGTCTCTTACACAAGAAATTAGCATATTCTAAGCACACTTTTTTGTTCTTCTTCTATCAAACATTTTGGAATACTTGAATAACACACCCCACACCCAGTATCTGGCCTCAAACTCAGAGATCCTTCTACCTCTGCCTCCCAAGTGCTGGGATTAAAGTTGTGCGCCACTGGGCTCACCACCCTGACACTCTAGAAATGACCTCTCAACTACTTGGCAATCTTACACCAATCTCTATACGTTTGGCTTGGTCTCTCTCTATACACACTTCTCAGAACCCACTGGTCCAGTTTGCCACATCAGTCCTGCAAGCCTGATGCTTATGTGGTCAACTCAGCAGCACAGAAACAACCAAGGCACACATGAACACCACTGAGTTTGCAGAAGGCCGAAGTCACCATCAAGTGTGGGGATCTAGTACTTAGTTCCAAAGTGAGGTTAAATGGTCCTGCGTCAGAGGAACACTTAACACTCTCCATGGTGCTGGGAGGAAGGTTCATAAACAAGGCGGAGAACCCGTGAACTAAGCCTCCGAAGCATACACTACCCCAACGGTTGGTTCTGAGGTGTGGTGCAGAGAACACTTAGGTATCTGCAAGGTCAAAAACACTTCCAAACAATATGAAGATGTTACATTTTCAGGAGTGTACTTCAAAGTCTCTAGAAGCTACATGGCATGTCATACCACAATGCAGAAGTAGATATAAGAATCCACCTGTCAGCAGGTAGTGGTGGCGCAGTCCTTTAATCCCAGCACTTCTGAGGCAGGAGGATCTCTGTGAGTTCGAGGACAGCCTGGTCTACAAAGTGAACGAGTTCCAGGTCAGCTAGGGCTGTTACACAGAGAAACCCTGTCTCGAAAAAAAAAAAAATCCACCTTTCTTCTTTTAAGCAGAGATTTGCAGAAATGTAAAACAATGCCACTCTTAATAACTCTGTTTTGGAAAATATAGGATTTTAGAAAGTGTTATGTTAAATATAACTGGTCTGTTCTTAATTACTAAGTATATTTAAGTGTCTATAAGCTTTATTTAGACACGGCAAATATCAGTAGGTACAACCCATATAACAAAGGTTCCTTAAGCATGCAAACGGTCCTAAGTCCAAAAGTTCAACAACTTCTGCTTAGAGGCTGTCATGAGTGCTGCAGGGAGATGTGTGGTTCCAGTGTACAGCCCCGTTCTCCTTGGGTTTCTCAATCAATCACCACGAGCTCTGAACCCGACCATTCCATTGAGGGGGTCTCTCGCCCTCACCCCACTTGCATTCGTCGCCTGTTGGCTGGCTCCTACTCTGCCGGCCACAATCGCAGCCTTCTCTATCCCGTAGGCCAGGCCTGGCACACTCCCCGGCGCGGCTCGCACAGCCAAGGCGAGAACTCCCGGGGCGCCGAGCAGAGCCACTCCCAGTCCAAAGAGACGCAGGCTGCGGAGCGGGCGGAGAGGTCACCCCAGGAGCGAGCTCCGCGGCCTCCCCCAGCTCGTCCCGGGTGGCCGCGGTCTGCAACGTGAGAAGGCCTGCACGGACGCCCCGAGGCCGCGTGGTACTCACCGCTCACAGTGGGGCTTTGCTAGCACACAGCCGGGAGCTACCGAGGACCCTGGCCAAACTCCGCGCTCCCCGGGTAAGCGGTCCTCCGGACGCTCCTGCAGCGAGGCGGGACCGCGAGTGAGCGGGCCGGAACCAGCTGCTGCCGTAGAGGGGCGGGGCCGGGCCTCGCCACGCCCAGAGGGGCGGAGCCTGAACGCCTCCCTTCAGGAGCGGCGGGCCACCGCCGAGGGGCGGAGCCTCGACCCCCACCCTTCGGAACCTAAGGGGCGGAGTCCAGGGCCTATTCCGCCCCGAGGGCCTGAACTTGAAGCCGCGGCCGAGGGACAGAGCCTGGGACACCTCTTCTTTCCAGAACCTGAAGGCAGGCCACGATCGAGGGGCGGGGCCTGTGATCTACCCCGCCTCTGGAAGGAGTTAAGTCCAAATAGCGGAGCCCGGGCCCGCCCCGCCTACTTCGTAGCTGCTGAGACTCTGGACCCCAGGCGGGGGCAGAGCAGGGAACTGCTCCTACCCGCTCTGTACTGCCCAGGCCCAAGAGCCTGAAGCTGAAGGCCTAGGAGCTTCGGCCCTAGATCCTCCCGGATCCGCCCCCTAGGCGGGAGAAACTGGACCTGGGCTGAGACCAGCCTTGCTAGTGGCTCAGTCCCAGGAAGTGGATTGCTGACTGGTAGTCTTTCCCTTGTGGGGAGCACCGGGGATGGCTGACTGCTGCACACGTGGCGCAGGGTGTGATGTCTAACCGTCTGACTGGCGCAGCGAGTCCGAATAAGACAGATGTCTTTCCCCGACCTTTCTTTTAAAAGCTTGGCGGCAAGTGCTGGCTTCATTTTCTGAGTGCCGCTGTACACAACACGATCAGTCCCTGCCTCCAGTTCCGCCCCTACCCCTTGCCCTTCTCTTCTTGTTCTCACCCCAATTCTTGTTTTGTTTAGGGTTTTTCGTGGGGTTTCAGTTGTGTAGGGGCTTAGGTATAGTGTTGAGAAAGAATCCTATGGGATCCAGGCAGGCTTAGAGCTCACTGTTGATGGAACTCAGTCTGACCTTGAACTCCCCGCACTCGCTTTTAAAGTGCTGGGATCGCAGGTGTAATCGTGCCCAGTCCTTTTACAAAGTCAGTTCCCTGTTTTTAGTTGGACAAACCATGGGAAGTGGACACCAGCAATATTCCCTAGAAATAGGACCTCAACATTTCTGTGGTTTACTCAGAAAGGCAATATTTCTATGTATAAAACTTTTTTAACCTATTGTGACCCTTTATAACACATGATGTGAGCAGTGAAGCTGGGTGGGCCTTCCGTATGTACTTTACATGCAGTTAGCCTCTCAAGTCCATGTGAGTTCAAAGATGTGATCAGCTGGCTCTACGTGGAAGGTGGTAAGGTTTTCCTGCCCAGGTTAATTGGAAAATCACTGTAGATTTCTACATTGAGTTAATGTAGTGTTGCTTGAATGAGCAACATATAGGGTGAATGACTAGTAACTAATATGTCAAACACCTCACTAGGGATGGAGGCTGTGCTGTTGTAGGTTGCTCCCTTAGTGTTGAAAGCCCTGAGTTCCAGGGACTTACAGGCTGGGCTTCAGTTCCAAGCTGCCAAAGCCTGAGGCTTGTTGTTGCTCTAGGTACTCAAGGCAGAAGCCTGCTATTCAGGATGTAGAGTGCTCAGCATGCAGCAGGTAGTTACAACGCTTGAATTTCAGTGTAAGGACCCTTGATGTCAAATAGACCAAACAGTCCCTACTTTCTGTTCTTCAGAGTCCTCTTCTCCCTGCCCTGGAAACCCTTTGGCTACTTACTCCCTAGTGTTATAGCTCAGAGCTCATGGAGGACTCTGGAATCTTAGCTGCTTTCTGTGTTAGCTCTGTGAGCTTTGGCTGTCGAGTCCCTAAGCTCTTGGTGACTCTGGAGCACTTCAGTTGCCTCCTCCCTGCCAGTGCCAGTGCTACTGCCATTGCCGTCAGATGTGAACGTTTTCAAGTCTTATCATCCCTCTGTACAACCTGCCTAGCTTGATAAAGACCATAAGTAGGCAAAGAGATTTTTTATGAGGTGCTATTACTGTGCCTAATATTGCAGTCTCAGGAGGCAGTACACAGGAGAGAATCCTTGCAGACTAACAAGACAATTAGGGGAAACAATCTGCTTACAGAAGAGGGGCATGGCATGCTTGTGTATGGATTGTAATCCCACCAATTACAGCCCTGCATATGCATAGTTCTAGCATTCACAAGTGCTGCATTAACAAATGAAAACGTCTCTTAGAAGCCAATAGCAAGCCTCACATTGCACCTGTCACAGTTTTATTTTTCTTCCGGAGTCTGTAGAGAGTGGAGAAAGAGCACCTTCCCAGGGGCAGGATCATATAAGTTTACTGCCTTTGTCTTGCAGTCTTCCAAAGCACGTGCAGTTTGCTGGAGAGGTCTTGACTAGAGCAGGTGCTCCCAGAGCAGATGTCTTAACTGCCATTGGTTGTAGTGCTCCTTGCCGCTGGGGAATGTTTAGTAGCAGTGCCCTCACAACCTTGCACTCTGGAGGGTAACTTCTTACCGTATAAGCTATAAAAGGGTTGGTGGAACAACAGGGTGTTGTAAGACAGGAAGATGAAACACTCCATCCTGCAGGGAAGCTTCTTAAGACAGGAAGTGACTCAAAATAGAGTCAGGAAGTCCCTGAAACCGACCAGATTCACCCTCCCCCAGGCATGTATAAGCAGTAAAAACTGTTCAGAGTCAGTCTCAGACAAGCCAAGCTTCCTGGAAGAAGCAAAGACAAGCTGAACTGCCTAGAAGAAGCAAAGCCCAGTGAAGTTGCCTGGAAGAGATTCAGACCAGCGGAGCCACCTAGGAGCGATGCTGAGCGATACTCTCCAAACCACTGAATTGCTGTAGGCTGTGCACTGTGCTCCAGACCTCGGCTTTGTGAGCTGTCATCCATGGCAGGGTGAGATTTGGTCATGCAGCTGCATTTGCGTCATTTCTGCTCCTATAAGAAACCCCTCACATATTTTTGTAAGACAAATAAAATTCAATTGGTTTATCAAGGTGGACTTTGACAGTATCTTTACTTTGATCTCTCATCAGTTTCCTATGTGGAGCGAGTAGACGTTTGTTAGTATCCCCATTTTCCCTTGGCATCTATGGTGCATTTAAAGCAGCCACAATGCCCTGATGAGAGTCTTGCCAGTTGCCAAGATGAACTCCTTGGTGGGGAGATCCAAGGAATGTGTTTGACAGCTGTCAATCTAAATATCAAGCCTGTCTGGTCCCCAACATGTTAACCTATTAGGAGGGAAACACAGCATTTGAAATGAGTTTGCAGTAAAGTCCTAACATCTTTAACCTGTTTAGTCTCTAGCCAGATATCCATGGGGAAGAGTTGGTTTTTCTCACCTGTCTGCCAGTCTATACAGTAACTAAGGGGGACTCCCACACAGTGGGGCTCCCTCCTAGGCCCCAGATTAGGCACAAACCACAACCAAACACTTGTTTTCTCAGAGAGAGCCTTTATTAAGCAGGGAGGAAAAGTTAAAGTGGCTGCTTTCTGACTCTGGCAGATAAACAACAAAAAATGACCTTGTAAGTGTAATTTTCAAGAGCAGAAAAAAGGGGGGGGGGCTGTGTTAGAATAGGCCAGTATATGGTGGTAAAGGAGCTAGAGGAGGGGGGGAGGGCACAAGGGAAACGGGGGCGGGGCATTTGTCCCAGGCAGACAAAGACGGCCTCTGACACAGAGGAGACAGACATGGCACATAGACAAATGGTGGTTTATAAGGTAAAAGGGGGAATCCCATGTTAGGATGTATGTTAATTAGGTGAGCCATTGATTGCTGGACCGCAATGCTCTGATAGCTGGACCTTGGTAGTCAGCCTCAGGAGGAACAAGTGGCCAAATAGACCTTGGGGGATAGCTCTAGGAATGTAATCTAATGTTTTGTTTTTAGAAAGCAGAGGGAATTGGGGTGAAGGGCAAGGCCTACCAGAGCCACATGATCGAGTGGGCTAGTGTCCCTTCAGTAATGCTGTTACCATGTCCTATTCACCAGAATAGAACCCAAAGGTTGAATCTTTACCTGTCACTCAGTTCAGCTCTTCCAACTGTCCCCGAAGAGTTGGCAGGTATGAAATGTGCTGCAGTGGATTCAGTCCTCAGCACCTCCGACTCTCACGTTCCTATATATGCCTCTCCCACCGTGCTACCCAATGTTACCCGGATTTAACTGCGAAGAGGAGGTGTAATTTTCTGTGTCCCAACAGAAGAGGAGACTTTCCACCCACTTCCCAAATTCCATTCACATTCAATGAACAATTTTTCTTGGATGCCCACAATATATTAATGTTCACCACAAACCCTGAAAGAAAATAATATTAGCATCCTCCTGGGCATTGAGGAAGATATGAGTAAGGTTAGGGTGTGCAGAAGGCTGGGAGTAGGGTGAAGACAAGTTCAGCTGACTTTGTCTAGAGGCAGCCCTATCTTAAGGTTCAGGGACAACATGGATAAAACTGATAACCAGTGAAGAAAATAATCCAGTCACAGATGTGAAGAGGAAGGTAAGCATGCCTGGCAAAACCTGGAGGAAATGGTTCCCACACCCTTCCACTCGCTGCTCTCTGACATGCCATCAATGACACGGCATTTGCCATCAATGACATAGCATTTGCCATCAATGACATGACATTTGGAGACATAGAGGCCTCTTTTCCATGCCGTCCTTGCAGCTCCTTTGTGGTATTTGACTGTGGTGATCAAGCTTAGAAATTTTAATTTCCTATAAGCTTTTCCAACTCTGTGTTTTCACGATTCACTTCTCATTTTTGGATCCTTTTTTTTTAAGGCTTATTCTTGTTTTCTTCTTCCTCTTGAGTTACCTATTACTTTGTAAGCTCATAAGTTCTCCTTTGTTACTGGGGAAGCTCCCTGCTACCTCCCGTTGAAATCTGCTATGTCTCCATTATATTAAATGTATTACTGAAAATGAATTTTAATCCCTGCTCAGGCTAGAATTTCTTACTCGTTTATGTCACTTAGCCTTTGGATCCCCACACTCTATTTCTAGTCGCATGTGCATCACCGCCTGGATGTCCCAAAGACACCTGGTGTTCATCATATCTCAAATGAGAGTTTAGCACCCGCTCTTCTCTGTCCACACACCCAG